AGGGCGCCGGGCCCCGCGGAGCGCCGCATCAGTGTGCGCCCGGACCCGGCGCAGGGCTCCAACCCCCCCCAGACACTTGGACACGACCCTCGTCTCGCTGCTCCTCGCACGGACAACCACGTCTGAGGCTCCGCGCGTCTCATAACCGAGCGCTCGGCCCTGTAGGTGCGCGTAGAAACTCTGCGCAAGGCTCGCCACGCTGGATTTCCCGAATTGGTTGCTCTCATGAAAAATAAGTGGTCTAACTTTGAGGGTTTTTCAACCTTTCTTCATTTGCAGACCCCTAAAAAAGTTCCCGCGGAGGCGCAGCCCCCCTTGAATTGTAAGCGTGGGTATTCGCGTGCTTTTAATTGATCATGATCCATGTTCGCCGACCCCGGTAGACGTAACCTGCGGGTCCCCGCGGAGCACAGGGTGGAAACCGCTGGGCAGTGGCTGCCCATACGTGCGGTTTTGGTCCCGGATTATGCACGCGGATGACTCTGCGTTTTGTACGAGTGCAGATTTGGGACCAAATATCACCTTAGCACACGGTCCCTGCGGTAGGAACCGCGTGCACGGGCGTCCCGTTTAGCTCAAGACTAGCGGGGCGGTTTCTTATCGCAAAGTAAGACGCAGCTGTAATAGTCTTCACGGTAGACGAAGGGCTGGGACAACCAGTCCGTTAAATGGGATGATGGACGTGGAGTCAGCGGGGCCAGCGCGGCGTAGCAGGGACTGGTTATATGGTTTGTTACAGGGTGCGACGCTGGGAATCGAGCGAGTTACAACCACAACGGTTCTTGCTCGTGTGAAAGCAAAAGCTATCGTCAAATAGATTTGATTTGTTCTTCTCGAACAGGAAGAGTTAAAATAACATTCAAATATTGTGAAATTGCTAACAAGTTATAAATACCGTATTATTAGATACAACTGACTGGCTTTAAAAGGATCGTTTTTCAGCGTATTGAAACGTGGCACTTTTCATCTGTCTGGTCTATACAAATTTTTGCTTAAAGCTACAATTTGCATGGCAGAGAATAAAATTATATTCCTCTAAACGTCTAGTGCAATTTGTGCTCAGTGTGTCTAAATTAACTTAATTGCACCAACCAACAAGTACTTCTGATGTTAAAAAAACCCAAAAAACACCCCTCTCTCCCCTTCAAGGCAACATACAGCAACAGAAAAACATACCGTTATAAAAGTATATGATGGATAATACTGAATAATTTGAAAGTTGACTCAGTTTTTACAATCTGCTGTTCTGGAGAGATGCAGTAGTTGCCTTCTATTCACTTCCACCACTTGCATCCATTAGCTGCGTGGACGCGTCCGTGCATTTTATCCATGAGTGATTACATTGTAAGATTAGAGCTTTGGTTTAAAGCTCACGGTAATGACTTCTTTAGGTGTAAGCAACGCAGAACAAGTATTTCCTTCTCGACTTCCGGTCTCTCCACACCCGTGCTGTTTTTTCCAATTTTAAAACTAAGGTGGTGGAATGAATTAGTTTGGTCCACTGGTGTTTCTTTTGCATTTGAGACCTTCTCCATAATTCAAACTGACAGCCTTTTCTTTTTAGAATAGGAAAGGTCGGGAATCAGAAGCGAGTTGTCGGTGTGTTGCTGGGCTCTTGGCAGAAGAAAATATTAGATGTATCCAACAGTTTTGCAGGTGAGTGTGTGACCTGTCCTGTTCACAGCCCATCAGTCTACCTGCTATACCAACTCTTAGATGTTGTTTTGAGGTGGACCACAAGACTTCTTGCCATTTATCAAGTCATAAAGCTGGTATTTACCTTGCCACAAAGAATACTAATTACCTGCTTACAAAACAGTCCCTTTTCCAGTTAGTCTGGTTCTACATCTTTTCCCCAGCAGTATCCAGTGCACAACACTTCAGAAGCAGCTCTATTTCATGTTCATGCTGGAGGTTTCTTTTTTACCCTAAACAGGTGTTTATTTTGTAACTTGAGTTGTACCCCAGCAGGTGCTATTTTAGATGAGATGCTATATATTTATAGGAAGATCCAATATTGTGTTTAAAGTTCAGCTCTTTTCCTCAAGCAGTGCCCAGTGAGAGTTCAACAAGCTAATTACATTTTGCCTGTAAGGATACTGTTACATTTTGTTTAAATTGTAGCTGTATTTAAAAGCTACAATTTAAGAGCAAGAATGATGAGTGGTTGATTAGCTCAGTTGGTTAGGTGGTGCTAATAATGCCAAAGTCACAGGTTCAGTCCCCCTATGGGACACAAGACCTGTCTTGCTTCAGGCAGGGGGTTGGACTCGATGATCTCTTGAGGTCCCTTCCAGCCGTACTTCTCCGATTTCTATGGTTAATAGACTTCATAGGAGTCTAGCTTGTTCGTCTGAATTCACCTTATACAGAAGACTACCTTTTACATTATACAAACTTCTGATCCAGCGAGCTATCATGTTCTGTTAAGATCTTGAATTTGCTTTATCAGAAGTTCTTTCCCCCCAATATTGAGTCACTTACTCCAATATGAATTGTTTCGTTTACTACGAAAGACTTTGTTGCCCACCCAAAGTAACTGACAAGTTGCCTTACTTTTACTTGTGTCATCTTAAAAGTGATTCTGTAATTATCAGAAAACCTTTCTGTGAGAGAATCTGTTAACGTTGCTATTCAGTTTTATAGCAGTTTGTGCAGCCCAATAGAGCGGAGTGGTTGAACTCCGTCAATTCAAAATAAGTTATTTTTCCCCGTTGGCATGCAAGGACTTGTGAAACAAATTTTACTTTTTTTCTATGGAAGCTTTCAGACTAAAATTTGAACTACTAAATATTGATCTCTGTTTTGTTTCCAGTTCCCTTTGATGAGGATGATAAAGATGACAGTGTTTGGTTTCTAGACCATGATTACCTGGAGAACATGTATGGAATGTTTAAAAAAGTCAATGGTAAGTGCAGCTTTTCACGGGAGTGGCTATTTTCCTAAAACCTGTCACGGATAAGTTAGTGCAGGATAAGTCGTGGTGCAAATAAAGACGCAATACGCTATTCCACACTACTTCCTCATGTGGACACATTATTCTGTACTGTGAGTGCCTTTCCGGGATTAACCTAAACCACACACAGCCCTCTGTGCAGAACGTTCATATAGAGAATTAATGCAGAAAAATATTCCTTTTAAATTCACACTACTTCTTACCCACTTCCACATATAGGCAAATCCTAAGTCTTCTGATATGTCATAGGTCTTGGAAATAAAGAGCTAACCCTTCCTGGGGATTAAATAGCCATCACAGAAATTCATAACTATGTTGTGACCCCTTCCATACTGGTGTGCTACGGTCTCTTTTCCTTCTTATGAGGGGACATTTGAATTACAAATTCAGATTTGAATTGATAAGCCATTTATGCTAATTGATCTTACAAAGAGGCTCATTCTTTTCTTACGACACTGGGGGCCAAACTTTTTGGCAGGCATGCCAACATTAAGCCCTGCACCCTTCCTACATGCCACTCCAATCCCTTCCCCTGCCCAATCTGCTGCTCTGTTTTCTGCTCCCTACCCAGTGTGCCGCTGTGCTACCTGCCATCTCCTCGATCTGTTGTGTGCCAGTGCCACTGGTTGGCCATTCCT